ATCCCATAACGTGAAGAAAAACATACCGAGCAATTTGAAAATCAAAAGTTGACAATTGCTTGAAATCGAAGATGGCGTTGGAAAATGTTTATTTGTAGCATGAATCATAGCATTCATCAAACCATTTCATTTGATACCTCGTTCATAAAAATCAGAAGTTAAATGACAGAGTTACAGCTTACGGCGTTCTTGTGTGAAAACTGTATATACAGGTGTCTTTTTTCTGCTAAAATTACAATTAATGTTAATGTATTGTAGATCGATGGGCTCAGAAAAAAATCTCTATCCCATAACGTGAAGAAAAACATACCGAGCAATTTGAAAATCAAAAGTTGACAATCGCTTGAAATCGAAGATGGCGTTGGAAAATGTTTATTTGTAGCATGAATCATAGCATTCATCAAACCATTTCATTTGATACCTCGTTCATAAAAATCGGAAGTTAAATGACAGAGTTACAGCTTACGGCGTTCTTGTGCGACAACCTGTATATACAGGTATCTTTTTTCTGCTACAATTACATTCAAAGTGGATGTATTGCACATCAGTGGATTCAGAAAAACAAAAATTAATAATCGCTTAAAATTGAAGATGGCCTTGAAAAAAATTTATTTGTAGCATGAACCATAGTATTCATCAAATCATTTCATTTGATGCCTCGTTCATGAAAATCGGAATATAAATGACAGAGTTACAGCTTGGGGCGTTTTTTGTGTGACACCCTGTATATAGCAAAGCTTCGGCTTAATCACCAGAAATAATAGACTCAAGGAACTAAGCCGAGGTCGCTTGCGGCCGAGGCAGTAGATTGTGCTAACCATCTTTAGAATCAAAGGGCCAAGCCGAGGTTGCCTGCGGCTGAGGCACTACAATTTATATCATATAAATTCAAATCCCTATAATATACATATAGCAATGCTCCGACTTAATTACAAGAAATAATAGAGTCAAGGAACTAAGCCGAAGTCGCTTGCGGCCGAGGCAGTAGATTGTGCTAACCATCTTTGGAATCAAAGGGCCAAGCCGAGGTTGCCTGCGGCCGAGGCACTACAATTTATATCATATAAATTCAAATCCCTATAATATACATATAGCACTGCTCCGACTTAATCACAAGAAATAATAGAGTCAAGGAAATAAGACGAGGTCGCTTGCGGCCGAGGCAGTAGATTGTGCTAACCATCATTGGAATCAGAGGGTCAAGCCGAGGTTGCCTGCGGCTGAGGCACTACAATTTATATCATATAAATTCAAATCCCTATCCTATACATATAGCAATGCTCCGACTTAATTACAAGAAATAATAGAGTCAAGGAACTAAGCCGAGGTCGCTTGCGGCCGAGACAGTAGATTGTGCTAACCATCTTTGGAATCAAAGGGCCAAGCCGAGGTTGCCTGCGGCTGAGGCACTACTATTTATATCATATAAATTCAAATCCCTATCATATACATATAGCAATGCTCCGACTTAATTACAAGAAATAATAGAGTCAAGGAACTAAGCCGAGGTCGCTTGCGGCCCAGGCAGTAGATTGTGTTAACCATCTTTAGAATCAAGGAGCCAAACCGAAGTCGCTTGCGGCCGAGGCATTACAATTTATATCATATAAACCCAAATCTCTATAATACTACACATATAGCAATACTTCGGTTTAATCACAAGAAATAATAGACTCAAGGAACTAAGCCGAGCTTACTTGCGGCCGAGGCAATAGATTATGTTAGCCATCTTTGAAATTAAGGATCTTCTTCATTAATAAGGTGACACATTCTTCTATAATTACTGAAAATTGCATAATGATATTTTTAAAAATAGATTTTTTATGATTTTTTGAAATCAATTCAATAATTAACTAAAAAATAAAAAGGCGATGACACAAAAAATTTAAAATCTCAAGAAGTAAAAAGTATTTTCAAAAACGGTCTTTTTCATTAAAAAGATTATAGTTTTTTTTAAAAGTGATGATAATTTCATAACGATTCATTAAAACCCCGATTTTATACGATTTTTTAAATCAAATCGAAAACTTTTGACATCCCTATAAAGTGAGAAAATGTATCGTAGTGTTTAAACATTTTTATCTCAAGAACGAAAAATCATTTTCAAAAACAGTTTTCTTCATGAACAAGGTGACACTTTCTTCTATAATTACTGAAAATTTCATAATGCTATCTTTAAAAATCGATTTTTTATGATTTTTTGAAATCGTTTCAACAAATAACTTAAAAATAAAAAAGCGATGTCACAAAAAATTTAATATCTCAAGAAGTAAAAAGTATTTTCAAAAACGATCTTTTTCATTAAAAAGATTATAGTTTTATTTATAAGTGGTGATAATTTCATAATGATTTATTAAAACCCCGATTTTATATGATTTTTTCAATCAAATCGAAAATCTTTATTTTCCTTACAAAGTGTGAAAATGTATCGTTGTGTTTAAACATTTTTATCTCAAGAACAAAAAAACATTTTCAAAAACGGTTTTCGTTATTAAAAAGATGACACTTTCTTCTATAATTACTGAAATTTGCATAATGCTATCCTTTAAAAATCGATTTTTTATGATTTTTTGAAATTGATTCAATAATTAACGTAAAAACAAAAGCGATGACACAAAAAAGTTTATATCTCAAGAACTAAAAAGTATTTTTAAAAACGATCTTTTTCATCAAAAAGATTATAGTTTTATTTATAAGTGGTGATAATTTCATAATTATTTATTAAAACCCCGATTTTATATGATTTTTTCAATCAAATCGAAAATCTTTATTTTCCTTATAAAGTGTGAAAATGTATCGTTGTGTTTAAACATTTTTATCTCAAGAACGAAAAAACATTTTTTAAAACGGTTTTTTTCATAAACAAGGTAACACTTTCGTCTATAATTACTGAAAATTGCATAATGCTATCTTTAAAAATCGATTTTTTATGATTTTTTAAATCATTTCAACAAACAACTAAAAATAAAAAAGTGATGACACAAAAAATTTAATAACTCAAGAAGTAAACAGTATTTTCAAAAACGGTCTTTTTCATTAAAAAGATTATAGTTTTCTTTATAAGTGGTGATAATTTCATAGCGATTCATTAAAATTCCGATTTTATACGATTTTTTAAATCAAATCGAAAATCTCTATTTTCCCTACGAAGTGTAAAAATGTATCGTTGTGTTTAAACATTTTTATCTCAAGAACGAAAAAACATTTTCCAAAACGGTTTTCCTGATAAACAAGGGGACACTTTCTTCTATAATTACTGAAAATTGTATAATGCTATCTTTAAAAATCGATTTTTTATCATTTTTTGAAATCGATTCAATAATTAACATTAAAACAAAAAAGCGAAGACGCAAAAAATTGAATATCTCAAAAAGTAAAAAGTATTTTCAAAAACGGTCTTTTTCATTAAAAAGTTTATAGTTTTCTTGATAAGTGGTGATAATTTCATAACGATTCATTAAAATCCTGATTTTATACGATTTTTTAAATCAAATCGAAAATCTTTATTTTCCCTACAAAGTGTGAAAATGTATCGTTGTGTTTAAACATTTTTATCTCAAGAACGAAAAAACATTTTCCAAAACGGTTTTCTTTATTAAAAAGGTGACACTTTCTTCTATAATTACTGAAAATTGCATAATGCTATCTTTAAAAATCGATTTTTTATGATTTTTTAAATCGATTCAATAATTAACTTAGAAACAAAAAAGTGATGACGCAAAAAATTGAATATCTCAAAAAGTAAAAAGTATTTTCAAAAACGGTCTTTTCCATTAAAAAGTTTATAGTTTTCTTTATAAGTGGTGATAATTTCATAACGATTCATTAAAATCCTGATTTTATACGATTTTTTAAATCAAATCGAAAATCTTTATTTTCCTTATAAAGTGTGAAAATGTATCGTTGTGTTTAAACATTTTTATCTCAAGAACGAAAAAACATTTTCCAAAACGGTTTTCTTTATTAAAAAGGTGACACTTTCTTCTATAATTACTGAAAATTGCATAATGCTATCTTTAAAAATCGATTTTTTATGATTTTTTGAAATCGATTCCATAATTAACGTAAAAACAAAAAAGCGATGACGCAAAACATTGAATATCTCAAAAAGTAAAAAGTATTTTCAAAAACGGTCTTTTCCATTAAAAAGTTTATAGTTTTCTTTATAAGTGGTGATAATTTCATAGCGATTCATTAAAATTCCGATTTTATACGATTTTTTAAATCAAATCGAAAATCTTTATTTTCCCTACAAAGTGTGAAAATGTATCGTTGTGTTTAAACATTTTTATTTCAAGAACGAAAAAATGTTTTCCAAAACGGATTTCTTCATAAACAAGGTAACACCTTCTTCTATAATTACTGAAAATTGCATAACGCTATCTTTAAAAATCGATTTTTTATGATTTTTTGAAATCGATTCAATAATTAACGTAAAAACAAAAAAGCGATGACACAAAAAATTGAATATCTCAAAAAGTAAAAAGTATTTTCAAAAACTGTCTTTTTCATTAAAAAGATTATAGTTTTCTTTATAAGTGGTGATAATTTCATAACGATTCATTAAAATTCCGATTTTATACGATTTTTTTAAATCAAATCGAAAATCTTTATTTTCCCTACAAAGTGTGAAAATGTATCATTGTGTTTAAACATTTTTATGTCAAGAACGAAAAATCATTTTCAAAAACGGTTTTTTTCATTAACAAGGTGACATTTTCTTCTATTATTACTGAAAATTGCATAATGCTATCTTTAAAAATCGATTTTTTATCATTTTTTGAAATCGATTCAATAATTAATTTAAAAATAAAAAAGCAAGAAGTAAAAAGTATTTTCAAAAACGGTCTTTTTCATTAAAAAGTTTACAGTTTTCTCTGTAAGTGGTGATAATTTCATAATGATTATGGTATTAATTGTGCTGCATTGGCCGCAAGCAACTTTCAAATATTTATTTTAGACAATTTAAATAAAATGAAATTGAATAAAAAAATACTTACACTAATTCCCAACATAATTAATCGTTCCGTTAACCCAACTAAAGGTTTCAAATCTACAATAAGAGTCCCGGATATATTCAATTTCTCCAAAAACCCTAATTTATCACAAATAACCTCCAACAATGTTTGATTAAACTCTGTATAAGCAACATTAAGCGATCGTAAATTCTCCAAACTTGTAATTTGATTTATTGCTCTATCCCAAATCGAAGAATTAAGTGTTCGACTGTCCTTTTTATTAAGTTTATACTTTGAAATATTTAAACTTTTTAAATTTCTAACAGACCATTCATTTAGATTTGCTAAAACAATATCAATTGGGGTTGTATTTACATTAACACATTCAAATTCATGGACATTGTGTCTTAAAAGAACTTCAAATCCGTCGGATGTTAAATACTGACAGTCTTTTAATTTTACTCGTCTTAGACGGGTATTCGTTTTGGTGAATATTGATACGGATAAATCTCGTATGCAATCTTTCTCCACCAAGTGTTCGAGGAGCTGTTCGCAGAGTTCCGTGCATAAGGAAATGTTTTGATCTCGAAATGTGTAAGAATATTCCGTGTTGTATACGTAATTTGGTTGGAAAACTAGACCCATGTTATCGCAAATGTATTCCAGGCACGCGTTGAGTAATGTTGGGGGGTTGTCACACATCTAAAATTTAAAAGAAAGAAGAATAATTAATGTTTAAACTAACTAAATAATATTAAATGTTGCTTACGTTTTTTTGTTATTGGTTTAAAGTTGTTTTATTTTTAGAATTATGTGCTAACGATCAAAAATCTAAACGAAAACATAACTCGATTTGACAATTTTGACGTCTTTAAATGTCAAGATGTTTAAGTTTTAGGTTAAGTTATTTGTGTAACTAACTTCGTTGTTATTATGATCCTCAAATTTATTTTAAATAAATATTGATATTAATTCTTTATTGATTAACATTTATTTTCTTTCTTATTTTTATAAATTATAATTATTTTTTTATGTATTTGTTTCATTTTAAAAATGTTTCATTTAATAATTAAAGGTGCCTTTTTTAGGACGACATAATTCTTTCTTAGGATTGTGTATGCAACCCAATGTACATAATCTTCATGATAAAATAAAGTCAAATTTTAAATTAATTTTTAATGATGTCGTCACGAAATTATCACCATTAATGAAAACTTTAATCTGTCTAATGAATCAGACTGTTTTTAAAAATACTTTTCAATTTTTGAATATTAAATTTTTTTTGACAGCTTTCAAAAAATCATTTCAATATTATGAAATTTTTAGTGATTATAGAAGAAAGTGTTACCTTATTAATGAAAAAAACTGTTTTTGAAAACGTTTTTGCGTTCTTGAGATAAAAATGTTTAAACACAACGATACCTTTTCTAACTTAATAGGGAAAATAAAGATTTTCGATTTGATTTAAAAAATCATATAAAATCGGGGTTTTAATGAATTGTTATGAAATTATCACCACTCATAAAGAAAGCTATAATCTCTTTAACAAAAAAGACCGTTTTTGAAAATACTTTTTACTTCTTGAGATATTAATTTTTTTGTGTCATCGCTTTTTTATTTTTAACTTAATTATTGAATCGATTTCAAAAAATCATAAAAAATTTATTTTTATAGTCATCATTATGAAATGTTCAGTAATTATAGAAGAAAATGTCACCTTATTAATGAAGCAAGCCGTTTTTGAAAATGTTTTTTCGTTCTTGAGATAAAAATGTTTAAATACAACGACACATTTTCTCACTTCATAGGGAAAATACAGATTTTTGATTTGATTTAAAAAATCATATAAAATCGTGGTTTGAATGAATCATTATGAAATTATCACCACTTATAAATAAAACTGTAATCTTTGTAATGAAAAAGACCGTTTTTGAAAATACTATTTACTTCTTGAGATATTAAATTTTTTGTGTCATCGCTTTTTTATTTGTAAGTTCATTATTGAATCAATTTCAAAAAATCGATTTATAAAGATATAATTATGAAATTTTTAGTAATTGTAGAAGAAAGTGTCACCTTGTTAATGAAGAAAACCGTTGTTGAAAATGTTTTTTTGTTCTTGGGATAAAAATGTTTAAACATAACTATACATTTTCTCACATTATAGGGAAACGAAAAATTTTCGATTTGATTTAAAAAATCATATAAAATCGGGATATTAATGAATCGTTATGAAATTATCACCACTTATAAAGAAAACCATAACCTTTTTAATGAAAGAGATCATTTTTTAAAATACTTTTCACTTCTTGAGATATTAAATTTTTTGTGTCACCGCCTTTTTATTTTTAAGTTAATTATTGAATTGATTTCAAAAAATCATAAAAAATCGATTTTTAAAGATATCATTGTCCAATTTTCAGTAATCATAGAAGAAAGTGTCACCTTGTTAATGAAGCAAACCTTTTTTAAAAATATTTTTTTGTTCTTGAGATAAAAATGTTTAAACACAACGATACATTCTCTCACTTGATAGGGAAAATAAAGATTTTCGATTTGATTTAAAAAATCGTATAAAATCGGTATTTTAATAAATTGTCATGACTTTTTTATTTTTAACTTAATTATTAAATCGATTTCAAAAAATCATAAAAAATCGATTTTTAAAGATATGATTATGAAATTTTCAGTAATTATAAAAGAAAGCGCCACCTTGTTAATGAAGAAAACCATTTTTGAAAATGTTTTTTTGTTCTTGAGATACAAAGATTTAAACATAACGATACGTTTTCTCACTTGATAGGGAAAATATAGAAGAAGAAGAAAACAAATTTTATTCTGTACCCACTAC